ATCGCAAAAACAATTTTCCTTCCTATGATGCCGAAAACACACTTTCTTCTCAGAAAAAAACTCACTTTTAGTTAATTGTGTAACTGGGAACTCTAAGCGAGAAAAAACTGATAATTTAAATCAAGCGAATAGCGAGAAAACTTCCAAAATAGCGGAGCGCGAACTAATTTGACCGTACTTCTTGCTAGGACGCAGTGGAGCGAAAAAAAAAAAAAAAACTTTCTAATAAATTGAAAAAAAATTGCAGATGTTCCGCTCAAATTTTACACGAAATATTAAAATACCATATTGGATAATTTGTATTGACTTAGCCGTAAGCATCTCCAACGTTTCGAATCTAACATTTTCCGGAGATCGTCTATTTTCGCTAAATATGCTGCGGACAGTAACTGTTTGCATTCCCAATGAATCGGTGGCGGAAATGAGACGATGAAATTTCGAAGTGTTTTTTCACCCATTAGTGGGCTAATCGATGCACCCCTCGAAACTTAGGAAAATCCAAGAACCCCTCATTTTATCTGTCAAACTTTCATAGAGAATCAAAACAAACATATCAGTGCTAACATTTGAAAACGGCACAAAAGCCATTTGTAAACAAATGGTTTGTGGGCCCTTTACTCACTACTTAAAGTACACCCACGCGACACAACAGCAACATCGGGTAGGGGAAATTTTCCCCTTCCTGACGATGCTGTTGGTTTGCGTGGGCGTTCTTCGGGTAGCGAGTAAAGGGCCCACAAACCATTTGTTTACAAATGGCTTTTGTGCCGTTTTCAAATGTTAGCACTGATATATAGTGTAGTACGAGGGGGGCGACACTATAGTCGCTATATTCATAGTCTAGCGGAGAGAAATTCCATGTAGCAAAAAAAGAGAACCAATTCAAGATCTTGAAGACCAACAAATGAAAAGGGGCTCAAGTTTTATAATCAAAACTACTAAGATGGTTCATTCCTTGCAAACCGAACGCAAATCAAAAGCATCGGGGAATAGGGAAAACGTTCCCCAAGTGAATTATTATGTTGTTTTGCCTAGACAAGCTTTAAATCGCAAGAAAAGTGTTTCCGGAATTTAGGTCGCAAAACCTGATGTGCTCTTATCTGTTGTTGGTCGTGATATGCTCGATTGGTTCCGTTATTTGGCAGTTTGGCTATCCGCCAGACTATGAATATAGCGACTATAGGCGACACCGGCGACACATCTAAATCTCAAGTTTAGATGCTCAACAAATTTCACACTCACTGAGAAAATTGTGCATATAACGTTTATGTGCCACACACATAGATTTTTGCAATGTGATTGCACAAATGAAATTTATGTGAGAGGCACATAAATTGCTTCCAATCGATTCAATGAATTGTATGTGTGATCACAAATGGGCATTGTGGGTAGTGATGAATAGATTTCATTTGTTTGTTGATACTTTTTATTGTTTGAATTTAATTTTTAACCAGAATGATATAATACTCTAAATTAAAAGCTTCTCCATATATTTCATGTTGATCGGAACAGCCAATAAATTAATACATACACCGAATTGAAAACATTATCGTTCTTCATGATTTGAGCTCTGGATGCTTTCGTGTTCGGGTATTGCCATTCGCTTCATTATGTGCCGAGTTCCAGTTGATAGCTAGTTCAGTATTTTCAGTAATATTCCGTTTCAGCCTCTGCACTTTTCTACTGATCGCACAGTGATTATGGTGTTGCGACCGAGGTTGCGACAAATCAAATATTCGGCTTGTCGATTCCCATTCCAAGTGCACCGCTCGTCACAGATTCAATTCTGGTGGGTTTTTCTGCAGTGCGTCGGATCCATGTTTTAACCGGGCAGCTCTTCCATCTCTCGCTGCAGCAGCCAGTTTAGATCGAGGAGCGAATTTCATCTGGTTCTTAAAATATTACAGTTAAATATACGTTTCAACATTTTTCCTCATATTTACCTTATAATTATGCAATTGTTCTTCTGGAATCTAAAAATACTAAACATTCACAAACTAGTTTTTGGTCTTCATTTTGAAATTCCATTCTCTATCGAGTGTATATTAGTTTTATGTGTGCTCACACATAGTTTTTTGCTGTACCATTAAACATACCGTTCATTTGGGGCACATATAGTTGGCATAAGTAAGACACATGACGTTCATGTGTTGGTTTTAAAATTTATGTGTGGGTCGTTTTATGCAAGTTATGTGTGAAATCATATAAATAAAATCTTTGCTGTTTTATCAGTGTAGCGAATCAATCTTCGAAAAATCTTCTTTAATTTGGCGCATCTACTTGCATCGTGCATCATCTTTTTGCAGGAAATCTTCAGAATCGTCATCAATCTTCTTTCTGTCTTCTCAGCGTGCGCGCAGCTAGCCACAGCAAAACACAATCTTTTCTGCATCGTAGATAGAGTCGTCCCCCTCGGTGTAGTACCAGAACTTCGACTAGAATGGGGTACGTTAATCGATTTTCTTGGGACCAATAGGCTAGTCAAGTAGTAAGCCAATTTGAAATCGTTGGTTTCCGCCGGTTGATGCAAGATTGTCCGCGGCATAACTTATTGATTTTAATACCATTGGGTGAAATTCATTACACTTCAAATGGCTTTCGAATGACTTTCTATGATATTCTCATTAAATTTTGATTCCCTAAATCCTTGTACCAAATGTATTTTCAGCAGATATGATTATGCAAAATATTTTTTTTAAATGCAGTTGTGCCTAAATATAAGTTTGTTTTTGTTTCATATCATAGAATATCAATAATTTCTAACATTGCAAACATTTTACCATATTTAAAAAAATAGATTTACTGACACTTGGAATTGACAATGAAAAATGTTACTTTCAAGTTAAGGGCAACGATCATTCCAACCCTATTCGTATGTTTGAAAACTGATATTGAATGCGATTGAACGTCAATCAAATAAAATTGAAAATAATCAGATGTTTATAAATTAATCACGATCTGGCTTTTAGTATCTTTACATTTATTCATTAAATGGTGACGATCGCTATCGATTTTTCATATGAATGTCTTTGAAGATCGATAAATCGAAAATTAAAGAAATTTAACGAAATGGTTGGTCGGGCTCTGGTACTATCAAAGATGAATACTAAGATGAAACCAAAGATGAATACTAAGATGAAACTGTCGGAAGAAAAACTTTCTATTTTAGTGTCCACTTTCACGGTCCCTTTCATCCAATGAATACCCCCCGTATTCAAGGTAATTTTGTGGTTTTGCTGCCCCCTCGGTAGAGATGGAATTTTGCGCACATTTTTATCAAAACAATCACACCAAAATCAGAGATGTCCCATTTTTTAATTACTCGATTAACAACTAATCGATTATTTTTTGTTCGCTGTGCTGCCATTTTTCCACGAATGAGAGTGCAGCACATGTTTGAAACGATCAGTGATGATCCTGTGGAGATGTTAATGCTTATATCGGCATGATCTAACCGATTACAAATAGTTTACTTTTCGGTTCGTTAATCGATTAAACGATTATTCGAATGAAAATCGGACATCACTAGATGAATGTGAAACGTCATTTCAAATATAAGGCCATTCAAAAATAATGATACAATTTGAAAGGGACCGGGGCTAATCACAAATTACGTCTCCATGGTAACTGAAATAAACACGACCCGCATAAACGCAAACCATCACTTGACCTTACCGATAATGGTTATAAATTGTTTATAATCCCTCCTAAACTTTAACTGAAATGATTTTGGAACCTTACATGAACGTTTGTGTGATAAAGTTTTAACCTTATGTATTATGGTTTTTAGGAAGCGGACCTTACAAATAATGGGTCGTTAAGAACCATTACCATTCCAAATTCTTGTTTTCTCCATACATTTTCGGAAAGAGAACTATATTAGAACGTTTTTACTTATGGTTTGAGAACATTAATGATTATGGTTATGGTAGTCAGTAAGGTCCATTAATCGTTTTGTATTATCGCTCAACTTTACGTGTAATATATCGCGAACTGATAATTATTAATTTACAGGCAACCAATTCGCGATATATTCCACATAAAGTTGATCGATGTTACAAAACCATTCATGGGCCTTACTGACTACCATAACCATAACCATTAATGTTCTCAAACCATAAGTAAAAACGTTCTAATATAGTTCTCTTTCCGAAAATGTATGGAGAAAACAATAATTTGAAATGGTAATGGTTCTTAACAACCCATTATTTGTAAGGTCCGCTTCCTAAAAACCATAATACATAAGGTTAAAACTTTATCACACAAACGTTCATGTAAGGTTCCAAAACCATTGCAGTTAAAGTTAAGGAGGGATTATAAACAATTTATAACCATTATCGGTAAGGTCAATTTATGGTTCGCGTTTATGCGGGGAGTGTTCACCGGTTGGTACTATCTTCGGTCCCAAGCTAATCAATTCACCCCTCGAAACATAGGAAAATCCACTAACCCCTAATTTTATCTGTCAAACTTTCATAGCATATCATAACAAAAATAGTGTAGTACTAGAATTTCGACTAGAATGGGGTACATTAATCGTTTGCTTGGGATCAATAGGCCAGTCAAGTAGTGAGCCAATTTAGGCTGTGAACCATTTGCCGAGTTAAATTTAACTCGTGGTTAAAAGTGACATTTCGAAAGTTATTTTCTATGTTCGAAAATCCCTGTGCTGTCGCTCAACCGGTTTTCGAGCCACGGTTGTCAAAATTTAACTTCTTGTCTGTCAGAAATAACCATGCTCGGATAGCAGGGTTAATCGATAACTTTCCATCTGTCAAATTTTAACCAAAAGTTAAAATAATCCACCAAATGGTTCAGAGCCTTAAAATCGTTAGTTTCGTATTGATTGTTGATAATATTCTTTTTTTTCTTTTTAAATTTAGACTGTCATTTACAACGAGATTTACAGTGTATTTATTCGGTCACCCCTCGGAGAATGCATCCCGCCGCAACGTCCTTCAAAAATGCAACAACATTGCAGCTGTCATTACGATCCAATGCGACTGGTGGCATATTTGTGGCATTTTGATTTGATGGAGAATGGGAAAAAATTGAAAGAAAATGGTGAAAACAGAAAGTTGCGTCCTGTGTTACACCAGCAAATCAAAATGGTTTTTGGATATTTTCTGCGAAGAGAGCCAGTCAATGGACATGGCCAGCATTATTTCGAAACATCTGTGGTTCGATGTAAGTAGTATATTCTTGTGTGCGGAAAGTTGTGTTGGTAAAATTGAAAAATGTTTGCACTTTTTCCATTGTCTTCCAGCTGAAGCCATCCGCCCAGTGTTATGTCTGTGCCGAATGTTGGAAAAATGTTTACGATTTTCATCTGTTTTACTGTAAACTAGAGAAAATTCATCTTGAAACAAATGAACTAGATTCCAAGACGGTCGAGATCAGTGTACAACCCGGTAAGTTGTAAAATTGAGTGACCAGTGTCGACAGTTGCCTGGATGATTTCACTTTCAGATTTCGAGTTTCACCCAATTGATGAAGTCAAACTAGAACCTCCGGATGACTTTGAGCCTTCTCCCGAGGAATCGAATCTTCCGGAGAAACCTGCCGATACAACGATCGAAGATGCAGAACCGTCAACATCAGCAGCAGTGATACGACCGAAAAGAAGTGCTTCCACACCCATTACTTACAAAGCTGAATTGTCCGATTCGGATCCGGAAGAAATAGACGCCGATGACTTCCTGGCAAATGATGGTTTCGATTTCGACGATGATGATGATGATGAGGACTACGTGGAAACTGTTAAAGAAACGAAAGCAAAAGAACTGGCGGAGACACCTAAAATCGTAAAGCGCAGAGGAAGACCGCCGAAACATTCAGCTCTCAAAAAAGAACCTGATACGGAAGTGGAAATTGATAAAAATGCATCGGACATAGGCGAGACCTCGAAAGTGCTTGAAAAAAAGGGCAAAAGAAAGAAGCGTAAGAAAATCACCAGAGAATCCAGTGATGAGAGCTCCAACTCGGACGCTTCCGATGACGTAGACAAGCGTAAATTAGGAGGAAGGCGAGCACGAGACGAACGGTTGTTCAAGTACATTGAAGAGTTCGTTTGCTACTTGTGTCCGGATAGAATAGAATTTGATCGTTTTCATCATGCTAACATGCACTACAAGGAACTGCACAACGAACCGGCTTATTTGAAGTGTATGAAATGCGAAAGGAAGTGCTTCACTCCGGGTGGATTCATCAACCATATGGAAACCCACGACGATCCGGATAAAAACAAGTAAATTCTAATCACTTATCCATTGATACACGAAATTCTACTTGTTCTATATTTTAGATGCAAAATATGTGGTAAGGTCACGGATCAGAAGATCACTCTCAAGAAGCACATGCGAGCCCATCGTATCCAGATGGAAGAAGCTATGCAATTTGGATGCGAACTTTGTACGCGCCGGTTTGACAACGAGAAAGCTAGAAATAAGCACGAACGGCTGCATGGACGGAAAAAGACAGTGGTAAAGAAAGAGAAGGGCCGCGATGAAGAATTGCTTGCATTCTTCAAGGTAATCTCGTGTGATATATGCGATACAGAGAAGGGCGAAAGTCGCTCGTACGAGAATTTCTGGGATCTGAAAAATCACATCATCGCCGAGCACAACAAGACACCCTATCTGAAGTGTCCCATATGCTCCAAGAAGAATGTATGTCGCCAGCAGCTGATTGTACACATAGATGTCCACGAGAATCCGGATCGTTACAGGTATGTACAGAGTCGTCGTTCAATGCCACTATTGTAATTGCACTCTATACCTATAATCCTTTGCTGCAACAGGTGCGACGTATGCGGTGAGGTAAACCAATTTCTCGAGAGACACAAATTTAAAGTACATGGAAATCGTGAACCAGAAAGTAACGAAAAGAACTACGGCTGCGAGCACTGTGGCAAAATGTTCCGTTGTGAAACAAATCTTAAGAATCACATTGACCGCGTGCATGGCGTGAAGGATGTAATATGCGAGATCTGTAATAAACCGTAAGTTGAATCACGTCAAGGTTTCAAATTGCAAACCCTTCATTAGGTTAGGTTAAACCGATGTTACGTATTCTAGGTTCAGCAAGAAGGCAATCAGTGCTCACAAGCGCTCGGCTCACACCGATCTGATGTTTATGTGTGAGCAGTGCCCGAAAATGTTTAAAACTCGTAGTGGTTTAGAATCGCACAAGGGCGAGCACGATGCTGAACTGCGCAAGCCAGTCAAGTGCGAACTATGTGGCAAGGAGATGCGCCGAGGTGCCAGTTTGGCCAAACATATGAAGGTGATCCACACGGTTGGAGATCCCGTCAACTGTAACTTGTGCGGCAAGCAGTTCCGTACGAAGTTCCATATGATGCGTCATCGCACCAATACTTGCTCGGCGACTATCGACTCCAGGCCGTTCAAATGTGAGGTTTGCGGAAAGGGATTCTCCATGCGTCTCACAATGACAGAACACATGACAACGCACACAAGGACAAGCCTTTACCAGTGTGCGTTCTGTTTCAAAACATTCGGATACATATCCAACTTGTACAAGCATCGCAAAAAGGCACATCCAGAAGAATGGCAAGAGGTGCAAGCACGGCCGGACCAAGGGATTGCCACCTTTATTGAGATGAGGAATTAGAAACTTAAAATGCGGAAGTAAACTGTTGAACGCTGTGGAAGTGTTCAGGTATTTTTTTTTAATTACAAATCATTGTAGCAGTGGGTAGCTGCCTGCTTGCTTTGACAGTACTTTTAGATTTTAGCAATAAAACTACCTAATCATCAATCAAATTGTGTCATGTCATTATTTTTTGTTGGTGTGTTGGTAATCTTAGGTATATATAGCCTATAATCCCATATCAGTCCCATATGGAAAAAGTAGGCTTAATAGGGAAAATTGCAGTTGAAACTACGAAGTGTGATTCCCATGTAAATATTTGAAAATTCATAGTAAATTTATTGATACTTTTTGACGTAGGACTACGTCTTTCATTTCTATACTGGGGGTACACTTTGTGAAAACCGAAACAAAATTATGAAAGATTTTGAACATTAATAACTCAGCTGCTCCTGGACCAATTTCAATAATTTTATCACCAATCGATCAGAAATCTTTCTCCGTATCCACTAATATTCTTGTTTTCGTTCAAACCGTATTTTCCATACAAAAAAAAACTTTTTTTTGTATGGAAAATACGGTTTGAACGAAAACAAGAATACGGGTGATTACTTCCGACTGATGATTTTTAACGTGAAGCTATTGAAAAAGTGGTAATGTCAAGCATTGTCCAATGTACGAATAAAAAGTGATGATTTTATCACTGTTTTCATGAAATAAACGTTCTTCCCAAACCCAGTCCTCATAATCGATCACCACTTGGTTGCACATCATTCTGCTTTAACCTGAAAATATATAAAAGAACGCTGCTGTATGGCATTAGCTCATGGATTCTCTGCTTGATCGTCAAGCAGTACAGTCCGGTGTTTGCTCGCTTTGTCGAGTTGTTTGATAATTTATTCCAAACGTCGTCAGTAGTGTCGGTCGCATCGTGTGATGGGAAGACAGCGCTCCCGGAGCAGGATCCGTGAGAAAGCGGAGAAGAACAGTGGTGAGGGTAGCACGAGTATACCTATTTCAAATAGGTACGCTACACGAAACGAAAATCAATTATTTTATTCATTTGTTTCACTTATACATTTTTGCCAAAACATCAGCCTTATATATTCCATAGGACAAACCACATAGGTCATATAAGAATGCATAAAAGGTATAAGTGACCGCTTATACATTTCATTTGACATATGATCTTCATTAACTTTTTGCAAGGCGTCTGCTTATTAGTTGACTTATACATTTTATGAATAATCAGCAATAGAAATTTGCCAAAAGGTATAAGGAGATTTCTATCCGTGTACTCTTCCCACTGATGTTGGGAATACCACATCCGCCACGGTGAAGCGATCCAAGAAGAGGAAGAAAAAACAAGGCCAGTCCGATGGTGCGAGTGGACGTGATGACGTCATAGCAACGAACGCCAGCGACATCGGTGATTTCGGTGACGCCATCGAGCTGAAAGCCATCCGCTCCATCAATTCCATCATCGTCCGCTGGGAGCCATACCGTGGCGGCCATCGTGATGTGACTCAGTGTCAACGGTGTCTGAACATCGGACACGGCACCCGCAACTGCAACATTAAGCCACGCTGCGGCAATTGTGCTCAAGACCACGCCACTTCCGACTGCCCTGCGGATGGAGCCGTGGCGTTAAAATGCGCCAACAGTGGTGGTGCTCACCAAGGATCCAACAAGCAGTGCCCTAAACGCGAGGATTTCAAGCGCATCCGAAATCAGGCGTCCACCAACAATCAACCAGCACGAAGGAAGGATAAGGCCCCAGCTTTCAGGGCCAAAGCGAGCGAATCCAAGGGTGCGAACCTCCCCCCCCCCCCTAAAGAAACGTCTGGATCTTCTGCAGGACAAAGCTCTCCATCCCCCCTGGATTCTGGAGACAAGCAACAGCTCAACCAAATAATCCCGATCTGTTCACAGCGGATGAATTGATGGAGATTTTCATCAACATGACCGGTGCTCTACGTAAGTGCCGCAATAAGCCCGAGCAGATCCAAGTGCTCGGTAAGTTCATGATCCAGTATGGTGTCTAAACCGCTAATCATCGCTACCTGGAACGCTTGCTCTGTAAGAGCAAAACAGATTGAGCTTGCCGGCTTCCTCCGCAACCATAGCATCGACGTGGGTTTTCTAACCGAGACCCACCTAAAGTCCGGTGACAGCTTCTGGTTGCCTGACCACAACATTATCCGGTTTGATCGCACCAGCTCCAGGGGGGGGGGGGGGGGGTAGCGGTCATCGTCAGAAAGGGAATCAAGTTCTGGACTCTGCCCCACTTCTATCAACAATCAATACGAAACTAACGATTTTAAATTGGCTCACTACTTGACTAGCCTATTGGTCCCAAGCAAACGATTAACGTACCCCATTCTAGTCGAAATTCTAGTACTACGCAATGTTTGTTTTGATTCGCTATGAAAATTTGACAGATAAAATGAGGGGTTATTGTATTGAGTACCAGAGCTGAGCCAAAAAGTTGAGCACGTTATTTCGGGACCTTCTATCTGTGGTCCAGGTGGGGGAGCTGCCTTCCTGGCGTCGGGAGCATTGGTACTCAGTACGGAAAACAAGATCGACGGAAAAAAAAACAGAAAAATTGATTATATTTATCAACTGCAGCTCGAATTGCAGCATACTTAGTTACCTCAAGCACAAACGAAGTGACAGACGGAGCGGCTCGAAAACTTTGTTGACTAACCTGCTATTTCAATTTTTCAGTGTACCACATGGCAACACCACTACTACTGGATTGTACCAACAATCAATACGAAACTAACGATTTTAAATTGGCTCACCACTTTAGTAGCCTATTGGTCCCAAGCAAACGATTAACGTACCCTATTCTAGTTGAAATTCTATTACTACACTATGTTTTTTTTTTTTTTTCTCCCTTTTTATGGCACAGACCTGTTGGTCCATATTAGACACTATGTTTGTTTTGATTCGCTATGAAAGTTTGACAGATAACATCAGGGGTGTGTGGATTCATGCAGAACATGCAGGGGTGAGTGAAATAGCTTGGAACTGCTTGGGACCGTTGTTCTGGTACTGAGTGAGCAAAAAATAATAATGATTTTCTTCGGGACCCAGTGGTCTTAGAGTTACCTCTATGATTGTACCACATAGCCGCTCCGTCTGTCACTTCGTTTGTGCTTTGCACACTGTCAAAGAATCATTGTACACAAAATCAACTTTGTTCAAATCAAAACAAAAAAACTAACCCATTTGGTGGATGATGGCACAAGCTTCCAAGAAAATTCTATTACAGTGAACCACATTATTTTAATGGATTTCTTCGCCAGTTAGGGTAAACGCTCCTATAGTTGCGGTACGTTAGAAGCGTTAGGTTCCTATAGTTGTGTATGGAGACTCCATACACAACTATAGGAACCTAACGCTTCTAACGTACCGCAACTATAGGAGCGTTTCCCCTAGTCGTCTGTCACTTCGTTTGTGGTAGTAGTGTTGTCATGTGGTACAATCCAGTAGTAGTGGTGTTGCCAAGTGGTACACTGAAAAATTGCAATAGCAGGTTAGTCACCAAAGTTTTCTAGCCGCTCCGTCTGTCACTTCGTTTGTGGTAGAATGATCCGGAAGTCCAGCTTCATGTAATCGTTCATGATAAAAAACCACGATTTTTGCTCCGTTATAACAAAGCAGCGTAGGAGTTTTGAGAAGATTCTATGGGCTGCACGCAGAAAAATGGATTTTTGTTTCAGGGCCTAATGTATTTTGTTCTTGATTCAAACATATTGTATCACTATTTCAACAATACATATTTTTGAATCAACAAAATAGTTTGTAGAATCAACAAACAGATTATTAACTCTACAACCGGTTTGTTGATTCAAAAATATTTTTCTTTGAATTAACCGAATAATATATTTGAATCTATGCCAAAAATATATTAGGCCCTGAGCCAAAAATATATCCATTTGAATTTAAGAATCATTTCTCTGCGTGTGCTCTTGCAATACCAATCGATGAGCTTAAAAGCAACCTGTTTGGTTTGCAGCAAGGTTTGCAGAGCGATTCCACTATTTGGATTGTAGCTTAGCGTCATGTCCTGTTCCGAAAACTGCAAATTATGCCGTTTGAAGCACCTAGCTTAATATCGACGGTTACTGAAATTAAAATTCAAATCATAATCTTACACAATTTTTCCTCAAATTTCACCTTCAAATTTTTTCACAATGCTTACATACTGGTTTTCCGTCTCCATTTTGAAATTCCCTTGTTTAGTCGGTAGGGTAAACGCTCCTATAGTTGCGGTACGTTAGAAGCGTTAGGTTCCTATAGTTGTGTATGGAGACTCCATACACAACTATAGGAACCTAACGCTTCTAACGTACCGCAACTATAGGAGCGTTTCCCCTAGTAAATTTGTTTTATGTGTACCCACACATAATTTTTTGCCATATGTCATTTCACATGACGGTTATTTGAAACACACATACTTCGCATATGTTATACACTTGAAGCTTATGAGTTGGTTATAACATTTATGTGTGGAGCGTTTTATAAATATTATGTGTGAAATCACATAAATAAAATCTTTGCTGTTTTATCAGTGTATGATAACATGTTCGTGTATAATACATCACATTATGTGCTGGATTTCGGTTGCGCAAATTTATAATGAAAATCGATGCAGCTGTATGCACTCTTGATGGGTTACCGATGAAATTTCGCCTGACTGTAAAAATAAAAAGGAGCCTTGGTACAAAATTGCTTAAAGTTTGAATTTCACGCTTACTTCATGACTTCCGCAGCATTATTGATTTTCTAGTGATAAATTTATGGTGTGCACTTATTAATTTTTCAACCGACTGAAAAATTATCTCATAGCTCGCAACAGCCAACGATAGAACCGATCTTGATTTTGACATTTAATTCTGTTAGCTGGAACAATCAGCAAAATAATGCCGATTACTGGTTTTACAGCAAAACTTGCTTTTGTTGGATACACTTCAGTAATTCATTTTGCTGGAACTTGAACTCAAAATTTGGTGTGTATGTTTTCAAGAAAAACTTTTTCAAAGAGTTACGTCTGACTGTCTGTGGTTTAAGACTCAAAACGGCTAACCAGAAGAAATTGGTTTGATCTATAGGGAACATTTAACCAACTGA